ACAAAAGAGGAACAATAAGGGGTCCCCAGTTGCAGGAAAATACACACTTGGATGTGTGTGTTTTTTGTTTTTGTTTTTTTTGGGGGAGATGGGAATAGTCATCAACTGATGGTAAACTTCTACAGAAGACTCTCAGGTCTCATAACCAAGTGCTTGATATTCAAGTTGGGCTTTTTGCAGTATTTTATCAGCATCTGGCTGCCGTACACTCAGTTGTATTTTCCATGAGATTCATGTATCAGAAACCTAAAGCTTAAGGTGCCTCTTGCATTACTGAATAAAGTGCCCGGGGATGATATTGAATTCTTTATCGGCATAATGGCTGGCAGCAGAATGAACCGCATTTGCAACATTCTTGAACACTTGCTCGATTTTTTTTATAAAAAAAAGTTTTGCGGGGAGAGGTTGTTAGCTTCTCTCTTTTTCTTGCGAAGAATGACTCCATTACCCTGAAGAATTAAAACGTCACATTTTTGACAAGTATTTTCCTGAAACAATAATCATGTTTTCCAAAATCCAGATTTCTTTATGTTGCACTACAAACTATATGTATAGAATCGAAGGGCTGTTTATTTAATGTTACTCTGTAAATGTACAAATAGTTGATTTCATTCTTTTGACCATCTCTTGCCTTACTACTTCCAATAACTTTCTGTGTACAATTATAAAGCTGTTTCAAGCCTTACGTTGTGTCGTGAATTACTTCCGCATTCATGGGTTAAATGCTACTTCATCGGATCAACAAATCTCTTATCCATTGCCTTGTTACCTTGGAAATATGCAACCGAAACAATGACTCAGGTGAAATGAAATATAAGTTCAAACGGCTCAGGTACTCGGTTTGCTCAGTAACGTTTTTTTACTGGTTTAATGCCACGATTCAGTTAATTGGAAACTTTTTGTCTGCTTTTCTAATCATCCGTTTTATTGAGAAGAAACATGACTCCGAGCTGATCATGTGCCGTGGGTTTCAAGTGCTGCTGTCAGTACAGTCTGAAAAATACGCTTCCCGTTTAGGAAGACATTTTCTTTTAAGTCGAAGTTTAGTAAATCAGTGTCTGTCAGTTCTGAAACAAGGGGTTCTTCAACTTTCTTTGAATTGGTTATTTCCAGGCTATCACAAATGAACCTATCTGCTTGCATTTTTGTTCTCTGAAATTCAACCTGCATTTGTTTTTAGAAAATTGTAATATTTTGCTATGTACTTTTTGATATTCATATTTACACCTAACAAAAGTATTTTTTTGTAAATATGTTTCTGCTTTATTCAGAAGAGCTATGGCCTTTGGAACAGTTCGAATACTTTGTGTATATTTAGAAAAAGTGTAATTTCTCAAAAGTAAAATGTTATTGGAATGCGTATCCAGTGACATTTCTTTATTAAAGACGTGAATAACACGTCAGAAATACAAACAAATCATGTGGAATAGTGCCCATTTGTGTATATATTTGTTGGGTACAAAAACTCTATTTGGCGACGTTCTCCTTTGGTCGTGAATATGCAACAAAGAACGTAATGTAATGGATGATTCTTCAAATATACATGTACTGTATATTTTCCAGATCTTTAATATACTACAGAGGTACACGAGCAATTTACATGTGAATTTCCTTGGTATATGTGGTTGTCATTGTGTTTCAAGAGCAAAGTAAATAGCCGTTTAGAGTTGCGACTCTCCCCCTTTATTCCCTAAGATGATAAAAAGTCCATCTATCAGAACAAGGGAGAAATTTACCAGAATGGTTAACCGTGTTTGGAAATAAATTCCGCCAAGCTTTTAGAATGTTCTGTCTCAGACTCAACACTAGTTGGCCACTGGCATTCGATGTGGAAGCCTTAACAAAATGCCCGCGTGGTCCCTCGATTTCCCCCGAGACATTCTTGGCATGATGAAATCTAAATATGCCATAAACGACGAACTCCAACCGGACACTACACGAGACACAAATGACAAAGAAGAATGGGAAGATCTTCATTCTTTAAATAATTTAATTCACACCACAAACTAAAAATAATTTTTGAAATTTTAAATTTAAAAATTTTCTAGCACAGAGCATAAAACTCTGACAAAGGTAAATAATTATTTTGCAAAAGACAAATACATTTCAGATCTTTAGAACGTCTTTTTATTGCACCTAATCATAAATACAGTAAAATACTTCACGAGATCTGAAGAACAGGCGTTTGGATGACATAAAGAAATGCATATCAATTTTTATAAGCTTTGTTACAACTGTATGATTCAAGCGTATGGGCAATTGTAATTTTTATATAACCTCATACATGCACGACAGAAACAAGTAATTCAAACTGGTTACGATACAAACTCTGAATGCTCGAGTACAGCTAGAAGGAAACCAATGCTGTTAAGGGTTTGATAAAAAAAATTGAAAGATTTCAACTGAAAATCCCCAGCCACCATTTTTGATTGGTATTGTGCGTCAGTGTGTCATATTGTAATATGCCCATATGACAGGAAGATCAAAGAGGCTTTCATGGGAGTTGGCATATTTCAAGCAACCAATCAGCGTTTGTAATTTCAGCGGTGTCACCAAAAATTATCTCTCGGTGAGCTGTCCTTGTCACAGCTTTGCTCCAAATTATGCAACTGTAGCATAGCGGGTAGGAAGAGCATCTTGTCCTTGCCAAGCACTCTCTCCATATTCTTCAGTATGATCTCATCCGGTACGATGTGGTTAAGTTTTCCACCTGACACGGATCTAATAAAGTCCAGGCACGCCGCAGACAACTGAACCCCGATTTTCTCCTCAAGGTAGATGCGAAGCGTTTCCACTTTCCCGCGAACCTCTCGCGCTGAATCCCCAACAAACACTCTACAGCGGACGAGGCATTCGTTTACGTCCGCCAACATGTCTCCATCCTGCTCGTGACTGTTGACTCCGCATGGAAGAAGTCCATCGTTTCTGCTCTCATGCAGACGGATGGCTTCGCCGTTACGCGACTCGCGTCTGGCAGTTTTTCTCTCTCGCACTGTGCAACAAAGCCCGGAATCCACCCAATGACTCGGATTGTCACAAAGATTATCAGAACTGGGACGGCTTCCAGAATCTGAAGAATTTTGTGTGCTTTCGTCACACCTCTCAGAGACTTCAGGAACATCGACGGGAATGACACTAGGAGGGTTTTGACAAATGACGCCGGTCAAGGACGGGCTTTCCAAGACATATGTCGACTTCATTAGCGATCTTTTCGTCACGGCGTTTTCTCCATTATAGTTCACACCAAAGAGGTTCACAATCGGAGCTTTCCCTTCGAGACCATCTGGGATTCCCTTACTTATTACTACTTCGCATTTTGCCTGAAAAATCAAATGGAAAATTGTGTAGGCTCACAAAAATGTTTCACCGAGTTGAATGACAGTTTTAAGTTAACAAAGCGCTGCATGTATACACATAAGGAGTAAAATTCTTTTTAAGGAAATCCATCGGAAAAGGTAGTGCTTACCGTTTTTGCGTGTACAGAGCTTTTTCTCTTCGTATAAGGTGTTTCTCGATCTGATTTCTGGGCATCTATCTTATCTGCGGCATTTGATGACATGCTTCTTTGTTTCCAAAGCGTAAAATCAGTTGAATCCTGACTAGGCCTATAATGGTCTGGATTTACATTGGAGGGGTTCACCTTGTTGGACGTCCTACCAGTGCTGGAATCTCGACAACGTCCTTCGGTGTTTGGTGCATGTGGTTTACAGTTTCCACCTTCACTAACGTTACAAGTTGTTTCTTTTCGAACCCTCGGAACAATTTCACCTGGAGTGAGTTCGCCATCATTCAAGTGATCTCTGACCGAGAGATGCCGCCGTTTGCTGGTCGGTTGGAAACACGTCGAGACGCCACAGATTCGTTTGCCCATAACCGACGCGACGGAGTGTCTTCTAGCTGTCTGCAGTACATCCTGTTGAATCGCCCTTGCGCTCCTTGGAACCGATCCACGCGCAACTCTGACATTTTCTTCCCTGTACTTTAAGCTATGACTCCCTTTCTCATCGCTGATTGTCCGAGGTGAGGAACACTGCTTCCTGCACCGGTTAGTGTACGCTAGCACGTAACCCCTGATGCCAGGAGTAGACAAGACTTGATCAGCAGACGGTCGGCGCTCAGGCTCGCCTCGTAGCAACACGGAGATCATATCCTCCAGCAGTGGTCCATAGTGCCTGTAAGGTAAAACGAAAAACAAATTAGTGCACGATATAACTATACTACATATTCGAAAAACACACTGCTGCATGCATCTTGGCTACCAGGAGAAGATCCTGCGAAAAGGTATCTTCTCTTCAAGCCTCCGGCATCTAGAATCAGTGCTTCCAAGAAAACTCAGAACTTGCTGAATCTAAATTAAGGTGTGACAAAGCATACCTCGGTATTGCCTTGTAGCGCCCTCTCATGATATTTAAAACCAGTGAGGAGAAGTCGGAGGCCTCAAAGGGATGAGCCAAAGCTGTCATCTCATAAAGGACGCATCCAGCCGCCCACATGTCGCTCTTCTGATTATATCTGGCATACAGAGAGTTAAGGAGTCACAATGCAGGGCACTTTTGGAACCATTCTTGCGAACAGCCTCCCTTAATTACCGCCGAGACGTCAATGATCGTCAATGAGTAACTAGCACCTCTTTAGAAACGTCACAAAATGATTGATCCTCTGTTAAAGACAAAAACTGTCTTATGAATCGGTTCTTGTAAATATTGCGAAAGCAATGGTTCTACTTTTACCAGCAGAAGGATAAACAAAATCTTAGTGAATAGTAGACTCTTACTATCAGGTTGAGGCTGAAACTCCCAATCCACATAACTGTTGGCCCGATGTAACAAAATTCTTAAGCAGCATCTCAACTGGGACTTGGGTATTAGGCCTAAGGGGATCAAATAAAGCCTAAGCCACACTGTCACGATGTGGGCCCCGCAAACCCTCAATTAACCATGGACGTGTCTATCGACGTGATGAGTTGGGAATACAGGGCCCCAATTACAACTTCCTACGGATAATAACGGTTGGAAAAATAGCCACGATTATCAATGGAAGGCCATGAATGGTACGATGGCTGCAAGAACGTGCCATAATGAATTGCGATTACACTGAGATTGTCCCACTTAAAAAAAGGGTCACTGCGCCACGATAGTGTTGAACAAGCTCAAAATTCTCGTGACCATTCCCGACCTAGGAGGATCACCCAAGGTTCTGCAAGATTCAAAGATGCCGTTACGCATGTGTCCGCGATTTGCTGCGCTTCACTAAGACTAGAATATGGGGTGTATCGAATTCGTGACTGTGTAACGTAGGCTTAAGGTGACCGGTGGTTACATCGAGAAAAGGCCACGAGTTGTACATTCTGTGACAACGGTTAAGGATACGGTTTTCGCTTGCATATTTCTGGCGACATGTAGTACGGTGTTCCTATAGCAGTACGAGCGTGGTCCCTGGTGTCTCGAAGCATTCGAGCTATGCCGAAATCACCGACCTTGATGACGCCTTGATTTGTCATGAAGATGTTCTGTGGTTTCAGATCTAGGCAATGGTTTTTGAAATAATTGTTATTTAACCTATTAGGTTAGGCCTTCCTACCAGCATTTTGCTTTTTTTTTGTCCTAATGCAAGGAGTATCCTCCCCGTGAAGTCTGCGTCTCCCTTCTTTATGACTACACTCCACCACCAAAGGAAAAAATACATGTATCTACGGTTACTTGATTGTCATGCTGTACGTTGTCAAACTATCAGATTTCATTTAGTTAATTATTTACATCATTCTTTTGTAGCAGGTTTGAAGCAAGGGTGATTGAGGTTGAGTTTTCCCCTGTTTGCTGTCTCTTGGCAATGCAGATGCGCAATTCTCTTACGGGACTTAAGAGCAGCACATATAGACACACGATGACATTATTTAACATCTACTCGGGCACATGGAAGTAAGGCTGTTACTGGTCAAGAGATATCGTGAATGATTGATTAGTGCTAGCGTAAGTGTAGGCCTTCTTCGTTTACAAACATTGCTTTGCCGTACACAAAATTCATCTTGGGCCTTTGTCTCAGTTAATTAAAAGGGGAAGTTTTTTCTTCGTACTTGGATGAGGTGTATGTTACTGTTTTAAAGCTGCAGGAGATTCTTTAGCACCAGTGGAATAAGTCCTGTTGTTTTTGTATTAGAGTCGCAACTCGTCATACTTAGTGCTAGCTACTGGTAGGCAATAACTGCAAATAATGTTGCTACCACCACAAGCAGTGGTTTTTACGTAAAATAGCCGGAGTCAACCCAACAATTATTGCAATTTCCAAAAATTTCAAAGCAGAACGTCAGTCCATCAGATGGCACGTCTGTGTCAAACTCACCCCGATGTAGGATCTTCTTTTTGTGTATGTAGCACAGGGCGAAACAGATCTGAACAAACCAATCCATGATACTATCCTCTGTAAAATTCTGTCCGGCCTGCCGGTTGGCTTGGATCATTTCATTCAAGTCACCTATTAAGGGAAAATGTTTGTTTAAACTGTCAAAGTTTAGTACCAACTCCAGTTGCGCACCCCCGGGGGGGGGACTTGGGGACTTGCGTCCCCCCCCGGTTTTAATTTTGTTCCTCCTGAAAAACAAGATAGGCCTACGATATGTACGTACACCTTCATGTAGCCTACATCTAAACTACTACAGTTCTGATAAAGCTGTACATCCCAGTCTCAGGCTGTTGTGGCGCAGGGGGGGGGGTTGAGCATCATGAACTATTTGGGAGGCCCCCCACGAATCCACATATTTTTGTTTACATTACCTTCCGATTGTTTCTATTTTTATGTGGAAATAAAGTTAAAGTTGGAGTTGAAGAAGTTGTAGATGCGCACTGACCAACTTATGTTCCGATTGCACATATGACGGCTTGGCTTTGAGTTCAAACAGATGTTCCCCTGAGGGAAAGAGAACTCACCGCTGAAAAAGTCTTTATTTCCATTTGCTTTTTACAGTACAGCTCTACAACAGAATAAATCTCCAAGGACTGAGATGTACCGTATCCGTCCTCCACGATTTTCGAATGTTATAAACACCAGTAAGTTTAAAAGGAGCCAGAGATGGTAGGCTATTCCTGCCGTTCATCCTAGGAAGAGGCCGTCAAAATTCTCCAAAATATAAGGCCTACTTTTTCCAAACAAGTTGGGGGGGGTATATGAAACTTGTGGATTTCCAGTTGAATTTATGCCTATTTGTCTTGTACCTTTATCAGCATACTCCATAGCAATGTGCAGTGTCGCCTCTTCTACAAAGGCTTCCCGATACCGTACCACGTTAGCGTGCTTCAAACCGGCTAAGATGGCGACTTCGTTTACCGCCTGGTTCCTGTCCTTCTCAGTCATTCCAGCGAGGTGTATTTCCTTGACAACGTACGGCCTTTGACTGGTCCTAGATCTCGCCAGCCAAGCCAAACCAAAGGTGCCTCTCCCAATGATTTTCAGTCGTTCATACTTTGCTGCCATTTTCAGTTTACTGAAGACTGTCCCAAGTTTGTTGTGAGGTAAGCGTATACATATATTGCGCTCAATGCTCGGCTTATACGTAACTTTCGGCACACCATGTGCTCTTACTTAGATCCTTTTTAAGGATTCAAATGTTAACGTGAAACGACAGTAAATTCTGGCAGCGGCGTCAAGTATGTTGAACTCTACACACAATAACACGTAGTGTAACAAAAACCCTTACGCTGTACGGGTCGTGCTTTCTTTCCTTTCAGTGAATTCTAAGCGCTCCAGCGTGATTGTTGAGGGAAGCTGTTTTGCATCCGTCCAGATGTTCTAGTTATTCATGTCTTTCTCAACTATTCCTGGGCTGAAGTCCTACTGGACCATTACCAGCTTAGCTACAGCAGTTCGATTAGAAACGTTGCCGTGACGTAATTGTTTTGTATCTCTCTTCTCTATCATTCGGATAGGTAGTGCCATCCTTCCGGCACAAGCACAATGCATCTCTGGTGTGGACGATAGGAACGATAATCCGTCCACTCAGCCGTCAAATTTATTGATGTTGGACCTAAGTAAACGTGTGGTTCAGTGCTTTGATTCCTAGAAATTTTCGTCACGGTAGTTGTTCACGTGGTCTGGTTGACTTAGTCTCCTGCCTTGTAGTCAGCCAGTGTGCGCGTGCACTGTCTGGATTGTCTTTCAGCCTGCATCTCTGTGTAGAGTTTCCCAAGTTCAGTCCGTGTTAAGCAACATTATTTACAAATTCACTCCAAAATTTATGAAATGTGCTGTTTTCTCTTTATCTGAAACGTATATTTGTCATTTGTGGTCCTGTAAAATAGTAACTAATCAATGAGTGAATTATTTCTGATAGTGGCATTTTTAGATCTGTTTTCTGAATCTTTTATATCAAGTCCCTTGTCAGTATAATTTTCCCTTTTTCCCTCTGTCGTCGTTTCTACATATTGATCACACTACTAAGACCTTCATAGTCCCATGCCTCCTACTTTTATAATGTAAATGAGAAAAATCTAAATTCTCACTGTTGCAGAACACACGAAATGTCAACTGGTTTATCAATCAACAGCAGAGAGCAGTTTCTACCAAAAGAGGATACGATGGCTCAGCATCTGAATAAGGTAAGATTTCAATTCATTATAATGCCCCTGTTCATAACATTCATGACAATGGACAGTCACCTTTCTTTGTCCGTTGAAAGTACAGATATAAACCAAAGTCAACAACCATTCACAAAACAACAACTTGCTATTGACATAACCCATCTTCTTATTTCTCAATTCTTGATACTGATTTCCCCTAAATGAATTAAGGCTTGCACATCGGCTGTCGCTAAGGTAACTTAAGATGAAGCCTAGGTTAATGTCAAACTTAGCTGTGCCAACGACTTCATATTAGATCACATTACTCAGCTATACCTGGCGTCACCCTGACAGTGTAACACGTCCTTCTTGGTGCAGAGCTGAGCTTTGTTAACAGCCAATGTCTATTGCGCTCAATGCAAGGCTTGTTTTCAGAAGAGCCAGTGGAAAGCAGTGGAGTTCATCAGAATTCAGAGGTTTGATTGCAGCAGGTGACCCTCGTGATCATCTGGCATCCGATCACGGCACACTATTTTCACTCATAGGGGGGCCTACATAAGTTGTCTGCCAGCCTGGAAAACACCCAGCACGCCCATTCATAATCTGGGAACGAGGAAGGGACGGTGGTGATACAAGTAACCGACAAGTGAACACGAACAGGAAACGTGGTAGACTTGAAAAATCTTAAAATCTTGCATGCTCATTGACCATGACCATACACGTAACTTTTACTTAGCTCTGCGCTCATTCAAAACGCTATTGTACCCGCTGCAAATGAAAAATAACAGACCCTCAAAGTAACGCACGTTATTAATTTACTTCCTTCTGATTATTACTCTAAAAGACTAGCTGGTAATACTGTACAAAGTGGATTAGATTTGAAGTTCTGACACGTTGGACTTTGATCTTGCTTAATACATGGCTTTGCTGCGGAATAAAATTCTCCTGTTCCGCCACATTCCTGCGAGTCGCCGGAATCCAGTGTGTGTCACACGGTGCAGTGGTTTGTACTGTCTGGGAAGGCGAATGGTGGTTGACAGCGACCAGTGCATACAGCGTCTTCGTCACACTGTGCGTGCTTTGAAGGGTGTACCATCACTTTAATCTAAGGACTCTAAAACTGAAACAACGCAGTGTGGTCGGTGATGGAAGTTCTCAGATATCCATTGCCACGGATGATTAATCAATCCACTCTTCCGTCTTCTCAACACCGTGTTGATTTTTCATCGAAAGAATGAAACGGCGGCACGTGCAGATTTTGATAAATGCTATGTGGGCTCGCGGTCGCTTCTAACTTGGCGAATCAGCACCTTGTCCTCGGCTGTTTCCAAGGAAGATGTGGATTCTTCACCTCGGCTGAAATAGACTTGAGGGAGAGAAAAACCCGTTTGGATGATCTTTTACGCTTAAAAAAATGTTTTCTGCCAGAGGCACCCGTTTCTCTTATTAGCCACAAATTTGACATAGGGAGTGACCTATACATTGTGCAATAATAGAGCAAACTCACACCCACTTTCATACTTTGTTGGTCCACATCGCAGCAAACTGGGATCCCCTAAACGTAGTAGTTCGTAAATTTGGGAATTGTGCCAGCAGGTAGTTTCCTTGACCATGGAATTGTGAAAGGAGCCGGTAAGAAAAACACTGAACTATAAGCGAAACCAACAAAGAGGGTTAATTTCACTTCGACCAATCGGTTACAACTCACGCTGTCGTTTTCCAACACGACCATTCGATTGATTTTCACCTTGTTTTCAGACACAAGCATCCTCGTGAATGTTTTACCCGGTAAAAGTTAACGGTTGTACATGTAATTGATTTTGTCTGTGCATGCGCCGATGATGCCAATTTGATAGGTACTGGCCGGGCAAAGGGCAGCGTAAAACAACTCAATGAAGTACTTTCTCACCAAACCGTTGCAAGCAAGGAGTGTCGAGGAAGCATTGGCCAGCGGACTGACAAAATGAGACACGGTTTCGTCGTGCTGTTGCACTACAAATCATTCCACTGAACAATATCGCAACCTAACTCTCGAGAAGTAGTGAAATTGTAGTAGAACTGATTTTCTGTAACGTTGGTTTTTCACTCATGGACCAAGTGTTTTTTAATGCTGTGGGTCAGTGCAAATTTGTGCACCTTTGGCTGTGCTCTTGACATCCCTGAACAACAGAGGATGTTTGTATTGAAGAGTGTTCTGGAAAATTCACTAATTCTGAACTAGTTTTCGGAATTGAACAAGCTCAGTGAACTTCAAGGTAAAAGCATCTCTGGTGGAACACACATCACTAAGAACACAGAATGGACAGCACAACTGATACTCAAACATCGAGTACTGCAGCAGTAGTTGTACTAAGAACGTTCTTCATTGCGATGAACGCCTTGGCCATCGTTCTCGTCAATATATTGAACATTCTCATTCTGATCCGAGCCAGCATCGGCTCGGAGCCTGCCCGGATCTACATTTCTTCCCTCGCACTGGCCGATATTCTTGTCGGTCTCTTGGCATTTTGTAGCACCTTGCCGAGTGGTCACGATGGGTTCCCGTTTGGAGTCGAGTTGTGCCAGGTTGCAGGATCGCTTTTTGCCATAGGGGTGATGCTCAGCGTGACATTCCTGGCTTTCATCAGCGTGGACCGGCTCGTAGCTGTGACCATGGCACTGAGATACGAGCACCTTGTCACCCGTAAACGAGCTGCGGTTACGGCCATTCTAGCTTGGACTGTAATATCAGGACTTATGTTGATTGCAATATTGCTCTGGCCGGATATCATGGATTACAACGAAGCCACATTCTTCTGCGAGCCCAGGTTTGAAGATGCGAATTTTCCTCCCGTGATGTTCATAGGAATCATGACTTGGATCTTGGGCTGCGACTTGACTATGACGGTTACCTACGGACATTTGTTCCGTGTGGCACACCGGCACTCGCGTCGCATCGCGGCCCAGGAACTGGCCGTCACGGCCGCTGCCGTGCACGGCGGCGGACCCCCACGCCGGAGCCGTGTGATACCCTGGAAGGACATGAAGGCCGTGCGGATGAGCTTGGCGGTCACACTGGCCTTCAACGTAGCGTGGGTTCCAACGATCTGCCTGGACTTTTACAAGTTCACCAGGAAGACGAACGCTTCACCTGGAACCGAGTTTGCAATCACTTGGCTCTCCGTGTCCAACAGTTGGTGGAATTTTCTTATCTACAGTGGAATGAATAAGCAGTTCAGAGATGCTGTCAAGCACCTTGCAAAACAGACCTGGGCAAAATGTAAAAGAGGGACGCCGGAGAGGCAACCACAGGACCGGAACTCCCCAGTCCAGGAAATCCAACACATTAGAGAAACCCGGCATAGAGTGGTTTGGGAGGGCGGTGAGAGACACGTTGTGGGGGAAACCTCCTGCTAAATCTTCCTGCTGAGACTACACTTGGGAGAGCAAGTCAGTGCACACAATCTGACTTCACACAAAGTGGTAGGAAGACTACGGAATCTTGACTTGATCCACTGTACTGTGTGTGCGGAGAGGGAGTGTAGCCTAATGTTGGGGTTGCAACTCAAAACAAGATGAGTATGGGTCAGAGATTAGAATCCAACAACTGGCAACGTGATTGTGTCCTTGGGCAATCCACTTTACCACTTTGCAGTTTTCTCCCAGGACATGCATACGCAGACTGAGACGTATATCCTATCAAAGGTCTTTTCATACCAAATGAACTGGAGATGAGCACCTGGTGAGACATATTGGTTGGGGACAGATTGTAGTTAAGAAGGGACAGGTAGTTATTTTAAGCATGGTTTTAGTGTGGGAGGTTTTTTTTCGCCTGTAACAAACGGCGTTCAAGTAGTGCCTCGTGTTTGTTCCAACGTTGCAACAATGTGTGTATATGAAGAACAAAACAGCACAAATTACCGTATGCCTCAATCGCGAGTGGACATACCAACGGGAGGATGGCTTGAAATAACAACGTGTACTGGGATTCTTCAACTTTCGGACAGTTGGTCCAAAAAGACAACAGATACTATCCACAGCCGTTGAAGTAAGGTACAAAGAAAAGATGCCTCCGAAGCTACCAACTGTTTTTGGAAGGCTGTTTAAAAGTCGTGAGAAAATTCTTGCAATGAGGTACATTCGTTGTATACTGTCATTTAACAGAAAATGAGTAGAAGTCAATTCATAGCAATTAGAAATGTAGTCCAACCGGTAAACTAGAACGGATATAGTGTAGCTGTGTTCTTTGTGTATGAAATCTATCCAATGTATTATCCTGAAATTAAAAACATTCGTGTAATGCAACAAAATTCAGGGACAGGCCGGAATAGATACTGTTTTTCTTATCGTGTTTTTTCGAAGTAATCGACCGTATTACCATTTAATATTTTCTGGTTACACCACAATGCCGAAAGGTACTGCGAATAAGAATTGGAGATAGGTCATACATGTAGTCCCTAATGCAACATCGAACATGATTATTACTACCCAGTTCAATTTTCTCCCTAGTCCGTAAGCAGCACAATATATCACTCGGATGCTATTACAAGTTGGCCTGGAGACAGCTGAATGCGTTTTTTTTCAGTGCTTGTAATTGTTTATTGTAAATCATTAATTTGAAACATCCGGAAGCCATGTTGACTTCGGCAACATAACAACTGCTAACAGCTGTACTCAAGCGTAAGCTAATCGCCGAGCGGCCAAGGGAAATCATTGATTTTTTTTTAACACCAACCAGTTTCGAAAAAAATCAACAGTAACATACCTACTGCAATTTGTTGAAGGGTAGCTGGAATGGAATTTTTACAATACAAAACTTCATTATGAGCCTTTATACATTTATACACGTCCCCCTTGGAGCAAATACGGAAAATTGTGTGTGTTTATACCCATCATCCAGCGGTAAATGGTTACGTACATGGCAACAAGCAGTCAACCCTTTCTCAGAAACGTTTTCAGTGAGTAAATTCTGGGTTTGCAATGATAGAAGACCCGGTTCACTGAACTGTATCTTCCCCCAATGACATCACAACAACAGCACCCTCACTTGTCCAGGAAAGCATGGATAATTCAAAATTCTAAAAAGTACCCTTGACAGTACATCTAACCGAATAGAGATGTAAACTAGTTTTCAGACACTCAAGAAGAGTATAAAGTTGCAGAAAAAATGTGTATAAGAAATAGTTATTGCAGCTTCACTTTAAGGTTGTCTTCTTCGGTGCGTGTAGTTAGAACCGAATAATTACCCGTATACAACTGAATTCTTCTTTTCTCTTGAAATATGATCATATAAATTTTTCCAAATAGGTCACTTGGGAGACATTTTGTGGTAAATTTTTTAACATTAGGGAGACATCGGTCATTAGGGAGACATTTCAATGTCTCCCTAATGCTCCAACTACCAAAAGGAGGAAAATCTTTACTGTCCACATTGTGAGAGATGATAGATTAGGGTCTGAAAGGAAAACATGCAAAGTTTGGTTAAGATCGGATTAAGGAATATTGAATTATGGGACGGTAAAGTTTGAAATGTTTTGTGCACGTTCCTATGGGAATGTCTCCCAAGTGACCCATTTTCGGTAAAAATGTTAATTCTATCCTCTTCAAGGATTTGGCTGTTATATTTTTCGTTGACGTGTCGAGGTCCGAATATCGTCAAAGATGCTGGTTTTTATTGGCCACCCGTGCGCAGATCCACTGTTGTCCAAACGCTCTCTCCTTAATAGAAATTTCATTACATACATGTACGTAATTTAATTAAACGGCCACATCAACAGCTGTATAACGACACACACACACATGAAACTGGCTTGGAGAGCAAACATGGCTTGGAGAAATTCAAGTAGGCCCAAAGCTGCTTCGTAATGAGGAATACAGAGTGTGTTTGCCCGTGCAAAGCACACACGCCGCTCTCGTACTATCGCAAGAAGGGACCTCAGTTGAACGTGTTGTTAATTTCCTGGAAGAACTCGCTTTGTTGCGAGTACCATTACCACAATTGTTTGTCGGCAAGGGGTGTCTTTTCATCTCGATTCCCTTGAGGTAAAGTTAAGCTAAAAGAAATCCAAATGACTACATCGACGATTTTGCACAAAAAGAAGGAAGTCATCATTTTAAAAGCAAGATCATAGCACCGTTTTCTCTGGTGTATATCACTGGAAAGATTATCTCTCTCTCCGGTTATTACCACGAGTTCACAATTTCGTTGTTTCGTTTTAATCGTGATCATAGCAGTCAGTGCCACAGTGAGGCAAAGCGCCCTCATTCGTCCCAACTATGTGATTATCATTAGTACGACAAACATAATGGATGAGAGCAAAGACGGCTTCAAGCAGAGATCCTCTCAGACATTTACGGAGGTTTTGTTTTGGTCTCCATGTATTACGCGTGGAATAAATGAGGAGGTGTCATCTATACCACGCTTCACAATTTATACGAAGAAATGGCAAGACAAAAAAGGGCCGTTGTTTCCCCCGGCAAATATGTACCAACGTCTTTGTATTGTGTATTGAGACACATTTTAGATTGCTGATGAGTAATGGGGAAAAAGTTAATTTAAAAAAAAAGCTTCCTCTTCGAAAGACTTTTATCCTCCAAAGCAGTGACTCCTTTTTTCAAAGGTACTCTAAATCAAGCAGCATGCAATTTACACGGAGATATTGCTATAAAGAAATGCATATCCCATTAAAATCGTAACAATCAACCATTTAACTATAAACTAATTTTTTCACAACCTCCATCAACCTCCAATCAATCTTTTAAAAAATAAATAAATGCGGGTGTGTCAAAGGTCGAGTTCGGGCGGCCTGTTCTTGACACGGGTTTCTTGTTCTCGCACTCGAACGGCGGGAACATGACTCAAGAACACTGTTCTCGGAACAGGATCACACACCTATGGTGTTCCATATGTGCCATCCGGCGTCGCATTTTCCTGCCGACGTCGCATTTTTCGACGGGCGTTGCATTTTTCAGCTGGCGTAACATTTTTTGACGGGCGTCACATTTTTCGTTGGGCGTCGCATTTTTCGACCACCGTTGCATTTTCGGAAAACTTGTCGTGATTTTGTATTGCTGACAACTTCTTTCAACCAAGAAAAAGTAAAATTTCTCTAAGTTATGGTGCGTGACATTTCTTCGCCAAGAGTAGTTACATTTTAAATTATAGACCGTAATGCGATAAACGCTCCCTCGGGAAGCATGTCTGCAAGATGGCAAATACCATACCAACCAGAGTGAACAATAGGCCTACTATACTGGGTTTGATTTTTGTGGTAAGTAGTCTAGTAATCATCAGCACGGGGACATTTTTCACTCAAAAAGCTTGCAGAAGTGAGAAACCAAATTGAGCGAGGTGAACTTCCACGAGTAATCGGGTTCATTAAAGGGTTTTTAATTTATTTACATACAGTTCGTCGACGCATACATGCTAATTTAGCCGTTTCCATAATCATTAAAAATATGTACGCACACTTTTAGCATCCACGTCAACAACGTCAGGTCCGGCTGGACCAAGGTTGACCATTGATGATTAATGACTTATCACATTGAAAGGCGACGCAAGTATGAAAATGCGACGCCGGTTGAAAAATGCGACGCTGGTTGAAAAATGCGACGCCGGTTGAAAAATGCGACGACCGTCGAAAAATGCGACGTCGGATGGCACATATAGAACACCATACACACCTCTTCGTCGTCGCGTTTTACAGGAACACACGGAAATACTCGTGAGATTTTTATTTTTGAACAGCTGCAAAAAGTAGAGAGATGGCTTCCAAGGCCATAGACAATGAGAAGTTTTGCAAAATTAACATTAATTATTTTCCGTAACACAGAAATGAATGTTCCTGTTTATATAGAAAAAAAAAATTCAGCCCATCCAAACGTTAACTCTCGAATAACGTAGCCTACATGGACGCCGCCATGTTGCATGTTGCTTGTCACTAACTACCAGCGATAACCGGTTGTTTGTTCCCGGCGTTCGAGCGGCCGACTCGCGAACAACAAATCGAGCTGTTCGTGAACATACGGTAACAAGCCGCCCGAACTCGGCCAAAGACGCGAGCTTTCTTTTTCTCGCCTTTTCGCCGCATAAAGTAGCATTTCTAAACACCAGAGGGCGCATTTCATAACAGTCAAGGTATACCGCCTGAGGATCCCTCGATTTCATGGTAAAAGCTGCAGGAATTGTACTCGGCGCGCCATGTGAACGGAAACCATTGTCTTACGCATCCATACATTTTGAGTCAGGTACGGTACTGTTATAATCTACTTTTACGGTTAAGAGTGGTCAGAACTTGATGGAATTATCGTAGGGGCTCCGTGACATTACTGCGTCAAACAGTAAATTAATGCCACACCTAAGTACTTCCACTGTCTCGAGTGGAACATCTTAAGTTGACGTGATGCCACAGAACCTAACCACGGTATGAAAGAGTGCGCCGTCATCTACATGTTGGCAGCGAATAACATGGGATTTCAACTTGCAGCTTTGTTCCCAATGGTTGACAGAAACCCTTGAAATACTCAGGCCCCAAAGCAACAATTTTTGTAGCGCCACAAGTGAAGGTAAGGACATTATTTTGTAAAAACTGCATCACCTGTTCGTGTTTGCGATGAGTTGCATGATCGGTTGTTTCTTCGAAGCATCTCTTGTAACACACTTCTGGACTTCAACCCAACGGTTATGAAACTTGAGCGCAGTGTTGCTGTTGGGAGTAATCCTGGAAACCTTTCAAGTAGTGTACCATATACGATGGGCCTTTCGAAGATACGTAACCATCTCTCATGACCTCTGTGATGCCATCAGACATGAAAGGGGAAATTCCTCTCAAAAAATTTGAAAAGAATCATCAGGGAAAATGGGGTGAAAGTCGCTTCTGCTATCAAATCTTTATGTGTCTTTTTTTAAGTTCATGAGGAATATATTCTAACAAGACCCTTTGAAAAGAAAAAAACGCCTAGGTATTTCTTACATTAGACCAAACCGGTACAGCCACATTGCAGCAAGTACCAGAGTGGGCAACATTCAGCTGCGCGCCTTTTGGCTGTTAAAAGATATTTCGACCCAGTTGATTTTCTTTCAAGGCGATAAATGACTCAAAAATAATCCCGTCAATCAATCAATAAATCCAGTCAGTTAATCGATATCCAGGAATGAACACAGCTCCCAGCACACACACTCTCACTCTCTCTCGCTGATAGAGCCGGCAGGGAGGAGACTTGATCGATCTG